ATTCAGAGGGCAGGAACCAAGGAATGGAGCAATGCTCGAGGGACACTTTCGATTCATGGGAAATGAATAAAGCGAACATTTTAGCAGTGTAAAAGCATTGTTTATGCACTTTCTTTGGTAAGATTGTTTATACTGGGAACAAACTATTGACTTCATTTATCTTCAAGGGTCCATGATACCAATTAGATATGCCATAAATCTGCAATATGATTTATATTTCATTTATAGTTCTTGATTAGTGATGCAACAAAAATGGCATAGACGATGGAAAATCAAGAATTTGTTGATTCACAATCGAAACCCGAATAACTGATTTTGGTAGGCAAATTATTGATTACACTGAATACCGACTTGGATCGAGGAATTTTATTATAACCCAATAGTAACCAAAATTTAAAAAATCGAATAGTCTGAGCCCTTAAGAGCATCTTCAATGTATCATATGGATTGCTAATTGCACTAAATACCGATTTGGATCAAGAAATTGGATAAAATTCCTAATTTTATTATAACCCGATAGCAACTAAAATCTCAAAAATCGAATAATATGAGCCCTTAAGAGGATTTTCAATGCACCATATGGATTGCAATTCATGTGAGCAAGTTGAAAGATTAGTTATTTATGTGGTATAAATGTTTAATGAATGAATATCTGAGTTTAAATTTCTTTTCTTTTTACATTTCAAAATTTAATCTTTAATCATTTAATTGGGGAGAAAAAAAATAATAAATAGGAAAATATGTAACAAATAGGAGAGAGAACAAGAGTTGTGCACGCGGAAGAGTGTCAACCAAAATGTAAAGGAGAGTGTACATATAGCATGATTGAAATTTAGTCTCTGTCTAGTCGTGCTTCTCTGTGAATTTTTAGCTTATTTTTGACGAATTATGCTACTTGTACATCACCCCTTACACAAGGGGTGACATAATGCACAAGTGGCACCTCCTCATTGGAGGGGTGCCGAGGCCCCACATGTGGGCCGAGGCTCCCCTCCAATGAAGATGCGCTACT